CTCTCCCTTTCCTCTCTCACTACTAAAAAGGTTAAGAAGGCATTGCGAGCTCTGGAGGGAGTCACATGGGATTCCATGGCCCATTCGATCAGACAGCAGTAGCGGGTACTGTGAAGTTCCTTCTGGATGAGCTGGGGAGGAGCCAGTGTGGGAGGGTGCAGTGGCATCTGTGTGAGGAGTGCCACCTTCCCAGCACCCTTGGTGGTTCACCAACTCCCCAGGGTGGTTGGTGGCCGGCTCTGGAGGTGATAACCCAGCCTGCCTTTCTCAGTAAAGGGCGGGGTTCCTGGTAGCCACCATTATCAGCCCAGTCCAGAGCCCCTTGGAGGAGGGCCACTCCCTGAGGGGGGTGGCGAGCAGATAGAAGGATGGTCAAGAGCAGAGCTGTGCTTGTTAGCAGACCACGAAGCCAGGGGCAGGAATGCTCAGGAGCAGGGCTTCGGCTATATATGCAACTGGAGAATTGTTTCTCCACTGCAGAGAAGTTGGAAATTGAAAATGGTGCATTACAAGCTACAACAGGGTGTTGGGGATTCTCAGCGTCCTGTTCTCGGCCCTGCATGGTTGACCTTGGATAAGCAGTGACGAGTTTTCCAAGGCAGAAACAGGATAAGCAATACCTCATCCCCGTGGGGTGGGAGAAGTTGAGAAGAAAGGGTGGGAAGGAGCGAAGGAGGTCAGCTGCCGTGTGCTGAGTACCTACTGTGTACCCAAAGTGGGACTGAGCATTTTTATGTTATTCTCACAGTAGCTGGAGAGGTGGAACGAGTTATTTTCATTTTACTAATGAGGAAACCCACGCTCAGAAAAGTTATTTCCCTTCTGAAGGTTATACAGCTCAACTGTAGTGGGTCACCGACTCCCAGTACCTTAAGGCTGCACAGAACAGGGCCTGTGTTGTTAGATTAGTTCCAAGTCTGAGCTGATGCAGAGGAGGATTAAACCGGAGGAGCAGAGGAACACGTCTGTGCTGCAGTGGGAGAGTGGTGGTCACCGCTGGGCAGGGGCGTGTGTGTGTGTGGCCCCTTCTCTGCAATCCCAGGTCTGCCCTGAATCTCAGGTCTGCTGTTCCTTAAGAGAAGAGACAGCTTGTGTCCAGGCGGCCACCACCTGTAGCCACCTACTCCTGTCCCACCAAAGTGTCCCTGGGAGGCCGAGACATCTCAGAATCCCACATACACCTGGGACTCTCTGCTTCAGGTTTTTTGAGCAAAAAGGACTGTCCTCTCAGTTTCTGGAAGAGCTGAAGATTCACAAGGGAACTCATGGCAGGGACCCATAAACTGGGCCCGACTCCCACTCCATCCAGGGGTCTGTGTGAATCTCTTCCCTTCCTTCTCCACGCACTGTCTGCTCCTGATGTAGCTTAATGTGCTCTGGAGGACAGAACGCCACAGCAGAAGCCTCTAGCACTTCACTGTGCTTGACTGCTGAGGAGACTGCAGAGACAGTTGGTGAAATATCTAGTAAGATTGGACAAAACCTGCAGATGCCATGAACATGCAGAATAGAACCGGTGGTCCTTCCTGAGAACCCCTAGGGTTCCCTTTAGCTCATCAGTTATTTTCTGCTGTTTGGCTTCGGTTTCGGTGACTCTCATGGGCAGGTCTCCTGGGCACATTAAATACCTGCAATAAAAAGTTGCAGCCTTGGGGTACAAAAAAAAATTAGGAAACAGGCAAGAAGCAAGAGGATTATTTGTTGCCTAAGGGCATGGGAGTGATGGAGGGTTGAGGAGGGACATTCAGCTAATGGGGGGAAAAAACAGTGACTGATCTTTCTGAATCCCTAGGGCCCAAAGAGACCCTTACAAGTCATCTGGTTCAGTCTGTGCTTCTATTTGCCTTATCAAATCGTGAGTTTTTATCTTCCTCTGCTTTCTAGAAGGATCCCCAGTGAAGATTCAGCCCTTACTGAATAAAGAGTCCTCTGAAGTCACATCCCTTAAGCTGGAAAGTTCTTTCTGTCTAATCTAAATCTTCTCTACATCAGTTTGTCCTCCTGACTTACAGTTTCCTTACGACTGGTGGGAACATTGGGTATATCATCTTCAAACATCAGTCAGCAAGCATTTATTGGGCACCACTGCCCAGCACTGTGCTATTCACACAGGGGAGCTGGAGGGAAAAGCGAGGCGGTGGGGGGTGGGGGGTGTTAGGAACACAGAACACTCAAACACTCAAACCAAGCTGCCTCTGCCTTTGAGACACTTATATTTGAATCCTGGCGACCAGGCCACTGCACCTGGGAAAGGGATGCTGTAAGTATCCCATTCTGGGGTCCCCGGCTCCAGTGCTGAAGGAGTTTATATCTTGAGGCCTGTATCCTTTATCCTTCTCTTCTTTAGTGTCTGTCATCTCTGCTTCTTTAACCTCAGGCCTTATGGAGCAACATGTCTATAGTTGTTTCTGTTCCCTTGTGTCTTGCCTAACTCTTTGCATGTCTAAGTTGTGAAGCCTCAACCCTAACAAGGTCATGGCTAATGTCAAGAATTCTTGACAGTCTTGAGTACTCAAGTCTTCTAATAATACCTCTGCATCTTTCCCATTCCTCTCACAGTACTTTGGATTGTATTCAGTTTGTGACCCACTATGACCTCATCTTTTTTCTTTGTGATTATCTATAATCCATGGCATTGTATGGTACAAAGAGCACTGGGTTTAGGAGTTATAAGATCTGGGTGCCAAAACTGATCTGGGAATTTTTTGCTATTTGACTTTGAATTTTTCACTTTCTTTGCAAGATCTCAAAGTTTATCCTACCTTTAACACAGATATTCTTTAAAAAAAGAACTCTCAAAACTCAGTAATAAGAAAACAATCCAATTTAAAAATGGGCAGAAGATTTGAATAGATACATCACTAAAGAAGATATGTGGATGGCAAGTAAGCCTCTAAAAAGATGTTCAGAACATCATTAATTATTAGGGAAATGCAAGTTAAAATCATAATGAAATACTACTATACATTTATTAGAATGTCTAAATTAAGACTGGCCACACTAAGTGTTGACAAAGATGTGGACTAACTGGTAGGAGAGAGGGAGGGACAAAACGGGCAGGAGGAGACTTTTGGAGGTGATTTTGGATGTTCATTATCTTGATTATACTAATGGTTTTATGGGGGTACCCATATATCAAAATGTACCAAATTGTACATTTTAAGTGTGCAGTTTATAGTATATCAATTATACCCCAATATACCTGTTAAAAAATGGTCTTTTAGTTCATTGTGTGAGCCAAGCGCATCAGTGTTTTTGAAAGTATTATACATACTATTCATCTTCCATTTCAGTAGGGCATTTTCTTTCTCTCTAAATATTGATGTCAGAACAGTGCTTCAGAATCCCTTGAGATACCCTAGTGCACTATGATCGGGGCTGTTCCAGTGAACATGACTTATTAATTGGAGCTCTCTAACTAGAGGATTTTAGCAAATCTGAGAGGCAGTTAGAAGAGGCATGGGGCCAGACACCTGTAGGGTGCATGACCTGAATTGTAAAAATGTGTGCATGGCAAGAGAAGGGGCCGCACTGACACCTGCCCTTTGGAACAGTGCTTGGGCGTTTTTTAGCCACCTTTCAGAGGTTGCCTGTCCTGAAGCTCATCTTCCAGTGATGTTGGAGTCACTGGCCTGGAAAGTTCTGATACTGCTGTCTTCAAATAATAGTTTTTTCACCTACCTGGGGAAGAATTAGTTGCATTATACACTTCAGATCACTCTTGTTTGGCAACATTCTGACTTCTTCTCTTAGTCTTTATCTATCTCACTTATTTGGGACTTGCCCCTAACTGTTGAGTGGCTTTGTAGAGCACCTTACTTTGGAAACATCAGGAATATCTTCCACATGACACCTTCCTGGCTCTAAGCATGCTTTTGTTAGGAATCTTGCCAGTGCTGTTAATGAAAGGGCTTTGGGTCAGCTGGCCCCTCCGTTTATTAGTGGTGACCTTGGTCCTGACTCGAAGCTTCTCTGGACTGTCTTCATCTGTATAACTGCAATTGCATTGTCTACCTTCCAGGGTGGCTTTGAGGATTAAATGAACTAACGCAATGTGTCCATTCCCTAATAGTTGCTCAATGCATTAATTCCTCACCCACACACAGCTCTACTGTACCCATGAGCCAGGAGAGGAGGGGTGGAAAAAGAGCACCCGGTGTTGTGTCTAGACTGCTATTTGAAGAGAGCGTGAGGCCAGGCTCTGTATACCAAACATCCCTGATTTGAACTAGGAATATTGCCCGGGACTGGGTTACCTGCTATTGCATTTTCTGTTTTCCACTCAGTGTTGCGCCTGCTCTAAACCATCACTGGTGTCACCCGCAAGACTTGGCCAAACCCCCCACCCACACACAAATGCTTTTGAGATCTGCCCCTGAAATGACCACACTAAAAGCTGAGGATGGTAGCGGAGCTGAAAACGAGGCGTTCCCTCCAGCCTTGGGCGATATTTCATTAGCACCGGCAGACCTGAGTGATGAGGAAGACTGTAGTAAGAGATCTGTGCCCTGCTTCTCGGCTTCCTTTCTCGTCGCGCCCCTCGGGCAGAACCTGGAATTGGTTGAGTAGCTGGTATCTCAGGAAACGATGTAAGAGCTCAAGACATGCAAACTGGTTATGGGGCATAAATAAACTTTGCTGAGCTCACCCTGGCCTCCTGCAGGCTCCAGGGCCCATTCACTAGGGCAGCCGGGTGGCAGGAGGCAGGGTGGGCGCGCCATGCAGCCTGGAGCTCCTCACCTCCCTTGGCCGTGTGGGCCTCCCTCCTGCAGCTGCAGGACGCTTGCTCTCCGCCCGCCGGGCCCGCACCTGCAGCCCCAGCCGCGCCCCGCACGCACTCCCTCTGCTGGGCTGGGTAGCAGGTGCCCTGTCTCCGGAGATCGCTCCGCATGAACTTCCCATCGGCCATAATCATGGGGAGACGATGAAGAGACCCCATTAGTGGCGGGCGGGCGGGCTGGCCCGCGGGCGCAGGATCCCGGCGCCCGAGCCGCGCGCGGGGAGCCTGTATTTTTAGCCAGATGCCGTGGAACTTGCTGGCGCTCCCCGCGCCGCCGAGCAGATAACGGGGGAGGAGGAGCAGGCAGCCGGCTCGGGTTTCCGCGCGGGCGCCGACGATGGCAGCGCGACAGGGCAGGTCCGGTCCAGACCCCGCGGTGAGTGGACGCGCTCGGCGGGCGCCAACTTTCTGGGCGGGCGCGGGGACGGGGACGGGGACGGGGCCGCGCGCCGGGGCCCTGCTGCTGCCTTACGCCGGGCGGCCGCCCAGGCTTCCAGCAGGATCCGGGGGAAAATTCCTTCGGCCTGGAGGCCGCCGCCGCCAAGAGGCTGGTGTCCGGAGGCGGCCCTCCCCTGGCCGGCCCCGAGAGGCGGCGCGCGCGGGGGCGCGGAGGCGCGGCGGGGTCCGGGAGGAGAGCCGGGGCGCGCGGGGCCCCTGCCCAGCCCGCGTGCACCTCGCGCGGGAGGAGAGTCCGGCCCAGCGGGCTCTGCTGTGGGGGGCGCCGGGCTACGCAGCAGACCCGCGCGGGTGCCGCGGCCTTGGCCGGACAAGGGGCCGCCCGGCCCGCGGCGCGCCTGATCCCTAAGCCTTACCCGCAGGAGCGCCCGAGGTCCTCAGGCAGCGGGAAATGATGGGGCCAAAGGAGGGCAGACCTGGTGTGTGCCAGGGAGCTGTGCTTCCCCTGCACCGTGTCATCTTCATGGTTCCCCGGCGAGCCGAGTAGTGTCCCCATTCTAGCAATGGGAACACTGAGGTTTGGGCACTTGTAGGAGGCCCAGCATCAAGTGGCAGAGCAGGGATCCACACCAAGTCTTCCCAACGTCAGGTGCACAGTGGCTCCTCACACATCACTGCATCCCCCAGCCTGGAAGAGTCCTGGCGCAGGGACAGACAGGGTTTCCCCCAAGGCCTGGCAGTTGTGTCAGGGACTGGAGACTGTAGCGGAGCCCAGGACTCCTGTTCACACATGCTGTTTCCTCAGTGACACCTTTCTCTTGTTCCTTTCATCTTTGCCCAGGGTAGGCTGATTAGGGTGCCTGGAGGCAGTGAAGCTTTACCAGCCAACTTTTTGGAAAGAAAAATGAAAGAAACCTAATGCAAATGCACCCTGTGGCCGAGGGTTCACTTGGGTTTCCCTGCAGCTGGTGGGATGAAGGTGGGGCCCCCAGGGCTGGGTCCTGGCCGGGGCTGCTGCTGTTCCTGCAGAGGCACCGAGGAACTGTCAGATGTGGAGGGCACCCCCCACGTCTGAGCACGCAGCTCTGCATCTGGAGTGCCTCCTTCTTGGTTTTCTGCATACGCTGCAAGCTCCTGCAGGAAAGGGTCTAGAATCCTTCCTGGGAGTCCTGACAATGGCTTTGTTAAAGAAATAGCATTTTGCCCAAATAAGACCCCTTGGGAAAGAGATACTATCTTATCGCTGTTTGCAGAAATGGATACTAGCTCACTTTCCATTCATCTTTTTAGGTGGGAATTTTGTACCAGAAGACCTTGAGAGAGTAATTCATGATTTGTCCTGGGGAAAACAGGCCTTCTCAAGTCCCAGAGAAGGCATGCAGAGGCTCTGGGATTGTCTTACCTGGCCTGAAACTAAACTTTGCCTTCCTCTGGTGTTTTGAAACCTCTGCGCTCATGTGTTGTAGTGCAGACATTGGCAGCGTGCTTCTGGCCTCTGCCTGCCAGGACTTAGAGCCCCTCGGCTGCTATACTCATGTCACCCCGCTCAGGAAGTACAAGTTTAATAATAGTCTGGGTGTCTCAGGTAACCCTTACCCAGTCAGCCCTGATGAGAACTTGAGTCACAGGGGAACTCCATCCCCTTTCTTTCCTCTCTACTTACTTCCTCCTGAATTGAGGCCTGATGGGGGCACAGCCTCTGTGCACAGGTGGAAGGCCTCCTCCAGCCAGACTGAACTTGAGAGGACCTTTATGGCACTGGAAATGACTGACCTGTGAGGCAATGTAGAACAGGGGTTAAGAGAAAAGTGCTGGAGGTAGGCTACTTGGATTCAAATCCTGCCAAGCCACATATTCCCTGTGTGACTTTGGACAAGTTACTTGTCTTCTCTGATTCATTTACCTTATCTGTGCAAAGGAAATGCTAAAGGAACCTGCCTCATGGGATTGTTGGGAGGAGCAAATGAATTAATTTATGTAGAGTGCTTAAAACATAGTAAGAGCTTTATTAGGGTAAACTTATTTTGAAAGGGAGTTCAAGGACAGCATATGGATTAACCAGCAGGGCTGTGGGCCAGGGGCACAATCAACCATGTACACGTCCTCTTCACCTCCGTGCAGGGGTGAGCCATTTTCTGAAGGGGGAAAGGCAATGAAAATGAAGCCCTAGGTGAGGAAGGGCAAAGACAGAAGCAGGCAGCTGTGGGAGGGGTCACAGAGGAGGTAACAGTTCCTCAGAGGTGATACGGGGTTCAGGCCCATTGAGGACTGGTTTTCTGGACACAGGAGCCAGCTTCTGAGCTCCTCTACAGCCTCCCCCACAGAGAGGCCTCTCCCCCGAGGCTCCCCGTAGGGGCTGGGACTCCGAGTGGGTCAGGGGCCCTGCTTCAACTTATCATATGGCCCAGAGATAGTGCGGTTAGTACTCTTTCACTTTTATTGTTCTGGTTAGTATTTGCTCAGGTGCATATCCTCAGTGGAACTATATCGTGTCCCTCTGACTCTCTTCCTGCCCCCTGGATCACACAGACTGTTCCGCCATGCTCCAGGAAGTTGCACCTAAGACAGGTCAGCGGATTGGAGGCAGCTGAATCAGGTAGATGGGCAGTATGGCCTTGGCAGAACAAGATGCTGGGAATGGGTTTCATATTCCATTTGCTCTGTAGCTTCAATAGTCCCTGGTCTCTAGGAGGTGGTCAACGATGCTAGCCAAGTGAATCAAGGGGTGCACGGTGCATGCACCAATAGCCTCTTTATAACTCACTTTGTTTTTTAAATCATGGGGGCTGGGACCTATATTCTGATATGTTATTCTCTCTCTTTGCTCCTCTTAGACCCCTCTTTGCTCTAGCGATATCCTGAACTTGAAATGGGATCCCAGTAAATATATCGTCCAATTAAACTAAGTGATGCACAGGGAGAGCAACACCAGTGTCTGTGATTCACCTGTAAGATACCCTGAGGAGTCCGCTGATGTCCTGACTGCTTTATGCCTAGAGAAGGCCACAAGGAAAGGAAACGGCCTTAGCAGTTGAACTTCACCTCTAACTACTGAGGTGACCTTAGCCAATCACTTTATTTTTCCTATCAGTTTTATCATCAATGAAAGGAAGATCTGGGAGCAGATGATTCCTTTCTAGAGGCCTGTCTTGGCCTTAACACAGCACCCAGGAAGGGAACCAGTACGCGCCTGGGACCCCACCCCTGCCATGCATTAGCCATTTGATTGGCAAAGGCATGTGGCCCATCCCAATCCATACAATCTGTCAGGGCTGTTTGGCCACACTCAGGTTTAAAACTGCTGAGCACACACCTGGGGTCAAGGGCACTGGAAGGACTGAGGCCTTACTCAGAGAGTCTTGGGCTGGATCCCTGAGAGTTAAATGACTGTAGAGCTTGGGCAAGTTTTAACCGCTCCAAACCGTAGCTTCTTCACCCCTAACATGGGGTAATAATTATACCACCTCCCCAGTTGGGACAAGGATGAAAAGATACTCTGTTGGTAATACCCTTGCCCAATGACAGGTGTTAGCATTGTCATTTCATTACTGTGTTTAGCCTTCCTCAGCCTGGTCTAGAGTGGGCTTCCCCTGCTTGTCTGCCTGTCATAAATATTCTAGATTCAGTGCTCTGAGCAAACAGTGTCCTACTTGATAGATTGCATCTGTTTTTACCCACCATTCCAAGGTTGTCAGCCTGAATCCTATTGTTGTGCTGCAGAAGATAGTTGGGGTAGGTGGGAGATAGGTCTCTCTAACACTCTAGTTCTTGGGGAATCATTTAGTATTTTTCCTAATAGTTGAATGCAGCCAGACTTTCTGAATCCACAGGCACAAACATTTCTCTGAGGCCTTGAGTCTGATTTCTCTGGAATCCAGCTCATCCACATAGAATCTAGACTGATCCACAGTTCTGAAACCATCCCAAATGCCTTGCTAAGCAATCCTGGGGACCTGAGGTGCCCCATGCTTAGGCCAAGGGAGATCTTGGCCTAGCAGACACTTCCTGCTTTGAAGGATTTGAGAGAGGCAGAAGGCTTGGTCTCTGCCCCTAGAGCACACAGTTCTGACTGGGAAACAAGACTTGCAGAAATCAAATAATTGGAGAAAGATGTATTTCACATGCATTTAAAAAATCTAACATCACACTCCTATTCTTCGATTTCAGATGACAAATACTGAGTGTCCAAGGACAGCCTCATAGAGGAGAGAAGAGCTGAGTGCATCTTAGAGAGACTGGCAGAGGCTTCAGGGTCCTGGGAATGACCAGGCTGCAGGCTTTGAGGCAGATGGAGCATGGAATGCCACTGGGGGATGGGGAGGGAAGGGCAAGGGACCCTTCTGCCATGTTGGGACAGTTAGACCCACAGGTGTGTGTGCTGTCATCAGGCAGATGCAGGACTTGGGTTTGAGCCTATATAACTGAGGGGGCTGCTGTGGGCCTGGGAGGGCAGCAGTCAATCAGGATTGTAGGAAGGTGAGCAAGACTGGTGGGCTGGGGTTGCCTGCGAGGCAGAGAAGGAAGGCAGCTCTTCCGGGGCAGCAATGGTGGCAGGGGGGAGGTGGGGGCTGCCCTCAAGTGTGAAGGGCCCACCTACAGTGAAGGGGGTCTGCAAGGCTGGGGAATCTTTTCTGCCGTGGATGAACTGTTTGATTGGCAAAGGTGTGCCACCTGGTTGGGGATGGGGTCAGGCTTAACTGTGGGTATTGTTTGAGATCTTCGGCTGTTGGTTTTGAGTCTTCCATGCTTAGAGATGATGATCATTAGCATGTGTATGAGCTCCCTGTGGTTGCTGATGACAGAAATGTCTTTGCTCACAGTCTGGGGGCCAGAGGTCTGAAATCAAGGTGCTGGCAGGGCCACACTCCCTCTGGAGCCTCGTCCAGCTTTGTGGCAACATCGCTACCATCTCTGCTCCCGCGCTTATATCGCCCGCTCCTCTGTGTGTGTGTGTGTGTGTGTGTGTGTGTGTGTGTGTGTGTGTGCGTGTGCGCACATGCTCTTCCTTCGTAAGGATACTTGTTGCTGGATTTAGGGCCAACCTGGGTAATCTAGGACAATCTCAAGACCTATAACTTCATTTCACCTGCAGAGACCCTTTTTCCAAATGAGGTGACCTTCACAGGTTCTGGGGAGTAGGGTGCAGACATGTTTTGGGGGCCACCATTCATTCCTCTCCTCTCTGAGGAGAGAGCATGAAGGAAGGAGACAGTGCCCAGGGTGGAGAAGACACCAGGAGGTACGGAAGGGTCCTCTGGAGGACTGGCAGCACGCACTTCCCAGGTGGCCCATCGCATGACAACTCTTACCTATTAAACTCAACCTGAGTGTGTGCTGTGCGCCAAGCCTGTGCTCAGGCCTTGTGCTGATAGAATAATTATAGTAATATATATTATTCCTTCCAGCTTTGCAGCAAGGGCATGAAAAGGCCTTATCCTCCCTTGCTTTCCGATAAGGAAAGAGGAGCACAGGTGGTGTGGATGCAGGGCTGTCAGCGCCGTGCAAGCAGCTGCTCCAGGCAGCTCCCCTCTCCCCTAGTGCTCTTCCACTATACCTGTCTGCATACGTAGACTCTGTTTTATTGCCCCAGCTCTTTCTCTGGCTGTCATTCATCTTTTAATGCAAATAAATGTTCCTGGCAGCAGGGTCTTGATATGTAGGGTATAGGTGGCTGAGCCATGACCACAGAATAAAGTACTTCTCTCTCATTCAAGAAAGCTGTCTGGGGACACCTGTGAGCTGAAGCCCCTGCTGTGTGACCCAGCACAAGTCACTTCAGCTCTCTCATCTGTCAGACGGGGACCATAGTTGTACTTAGCTCTGTTGTTTGTTTCTTTGTTTGTTTTTAATGAGGATCAAATGCATACCTGTGTGCATGTAAATAAATATTATATGTAAAGTGCTGATCATGGTTCTTAGCGCTAAGTGCTGTGTGCTGTTTACTTAAAAATCAACCACAAAATTGTACCAAAGAGCACGTTGTTTGGTTCCTGCAGGGCCTGCATCTGGGACTCCCCAGGGCCAGGGACTGAGTGACACAGGCTTGTCAGTAGGAACTCGGAGCCCTTGGGAATATCGAAGCACCAAGATACACCAGACTGGGCTGAGCATCGCCTTTGGAATGGGGTTCCTCTCACACGCTGGTCCCTCCCAGGTTCTAGCTGAGAATGCTTGCCTGTAAAGATACCGGAAGGAAGGGAGGCTGGGCCGAAGGCAGCCTCCCATTGCAGACCCGAGATGGGTCCAGCCAGGGGCTCTAGGCCGGACCAGCCTGGCACCATGGTGGGCCCCAGGGCGCCGTGCCAGGAGGGTACACGGGCTGCCGGCGGGCCCGGGCCCTTTCTTGCAGCCCTGAGCTGGCACACAGCACACTCATGGCCTGCTCTTTTCTCCTCACAGGCTGATGCTGCTACCAGCTTTCTGAGGGCAGCCAGATCAGGCAACTTGGACAAAGCTTTGGATCACCTGAGGAATGGAGTAGACATTAACACCTGCAACCAGGTAAGTGGGATGGGGACAGGTGTGTGGTCTCTGAAGCGTGGCTCTTCTCCAGTGCCATTTCCTGAGAGCTTTAATCTGCCTCTTTTAACCTTTTCCCAGTGGCCTCAAAAATCCCCAGGGGCTTCCGCCTGCTGAAGGCCCTCACCTCTGTGTTCACATCCCAGACGTGGTCCAGGGCCCTGCAGAGAAGGGCTGATGCCTGAGAAGCGTAGGCCGGGCCCAGGCACTGTTCCCCGTGGCCTCTTCCCTTAGAAGTTGCCTCCGTCTCTGCTGTGGGCTTACAACATGTGGCCTTTGAAAGCCGGCAGGAGAAAGGGCCTCGGAAGGATGTTGTGTCGATGGTGACATTAAATCTCCTTTGTTCACCAGCTGCCTTTGTGAGTTCTCCACTGAGCTGAGAAGGACATAGTGATGAGGACTTGCTTGCACTGTCAGGGTGCTGACGAAGGTGAATCTGGCTCAGATTGAGAACCATGTGGCTTAAACGGTTTCTTGGGGGTCCTGGTGCCGAGTGACAGGCTTGGTTTCAGGAGTGCTTGGTAACTGTTGAGGATGGATTGGAAGACAGGCAGTCAGGTTTGGGGCCAAAGATCTAGGAATTGACTGAACAGAGAGGAAATCATCCCAGGAAAGAGAGTAGGTATGGCCTGGACTTGTGGATTGGATGACTTTCATTTTGTTCTGTGTTATTCTGCCAGCTAATTCAGTTGTTCACGTACACATGTTAATTCAATTTCAAATTTGAAATAAATTTACCAAGTGTGGCTTCTTTTTTTTTTTTTTTTACCATTTTAACTATTTAAAACTTGTTTTTAATTGTGGTGAAATACACACAACAGGATTCACCATCTTAACCACTTTTACGTGTGCAGTGCAGTGGCATCAAGCACAGTCACACTGAGGTAGCACTGTCACCACAGACCCTTCATCTTGACAACCGGAAACTCTACCCCCGTTAAACACAAGCTCCTCGCCCCCTGCCTCAGCCCGGCCCCACTCCGCCTGTCTCCATGAATTTGACCTCTCCGGGTCCCTCCAGCATTTGTCCTTTTGTGATGGGCTGATTTCCCTCAGTTGGACGTCCTCCAGGCCCACCTGTGTTGGAGTGGACTGGATGACTTCACAAGCCAGCAGGAGCAAGTCCCCAGGATGCAGGTCAGCTTGCGCAGATGGTGTGCCTCTGCCCCTGACTGCTCCACCCTGCTCAAAGTGCTGAATACCGCTGTTATGTGTCCCAGGTCCAGGACCCCATTTGGATGCAGATGGTCCTCTGTGGTGTGAATTCATGGCTAAAAGATCAGAGAAGGAGGAGCAGTGGAGTGTGATGGGGAGCAGAAGCCCATGGCAGTGAACTTCAGTGGGGGGACAGCATGTGGACTAGCCTTGAGCACCCAAACTGGGTGAGCAGTGCAGGTCACCCCCTGAATAGACCAACACACAGTGACCCACAGACCCAGGGACTTGTGTGGGATCCTAACCAATCCTGCAGAGCTAAAGGGTGGTCTTGGGAGAGCAGACTGAATCTGTTTCTTTCTAGGAGAGGCAGTAGGTGTGAAGTGTGGGGTCACAGTGAGGGTCCTGGGATCAGTGTGGCTCGGGAGGGGCCCAGGGTCATTGTAAGGGGACCCTGGAAATGGCTGTGTGAGCGGGAGTTGTGCTGCCCCCAGCTCCCCACTGTGAGGGGAGTGCTCCTTCCCCTGCTCGCATCCCTGGGTCCGTGCAGTGGCCTCCTTTGTTCAGGCTGTGGCTGCAGAAATACGCAGTGCAGTTCCCGGTGAAGAGCTCCAAACCCTCCGAGGCCTTCCAGGGATTAAGATGCCAGCTCTCAAAGGAATCCATTTAGCAGAAACGGGGACAACTGAACGTTGTAAGCCTTGAGCCAGGGCTCATTTTCAGTGTGAAGTTGGAAGGTTTCGATGATACCTGGGAATGGCTTGCCCTGATTGGTGTCATGTTGGTGCAGCCCTGGGTGTCACTGCCTTCTCCCTCTGCCTACCATCCCTCTGTGGAGCACCTCCCGACTTCATCCTGGGCTCGGAGAGCAGCAGGACCCCCAGGCATTATTTGCATTTTACTGACACCATATTTGATGGGCTTAGCACCAGGGACAGGTGGCACTTAGCTGTCTGAAGATGGGGGAGGCTCTGGCCTCAGACAGGGGACTCAGTCCTGGCTAGGACCACCTCTTTCTTTCAAAGAAGGAGCTGCTGCCAGCAGGGAAATGAATGGCAGAGGGCAGGAAAAGGAAGGATTCCGTAGTGCAAAGCCTCTGGCTGCCAGTTTAGTCCCATGGCTCCCTCACCCTGGCTCCCCAAACCTGGGCCCATGATGTTGGTCTCGGGCTCTGTGACGGTCGCAGGGCCAGGGAGCCACAGACGGGCTGTCCCCAGCCATTTGGCCTCTGCCTGGGGGAGGGCAGCAGGAGTTGGGAAGGCCGGTGGGCCTGAACTTCAGCCCTCCCTGCACACATGGGGGCACTCCTGGGGAGACACTGCCGCTTGGTAATGTTCGCTGGCTCGCCTCACCGGGGCTGCAGCTTTCTTCTCTTTAAAACGTACACTCATTGTTTTGAGACGATTAAAAACAGGCTCTTGTCCTGGGGTCACAGCTTGGGGAATGTGCTTTTGCTAGACTCTTGGGAGCAGTAACAGCCAGTGCTGATGCTTATGTAAGTAACACACTTTCAAACAGTACATTTTGTGGAAAGAGTATGTGCCGTAACAGGAAGTAATCACTCCAGGTATGGTGCAAAGAGGGGCTCAGCTTACATAAGAGATGTCGGGATATCCAGGGCAGTTTCCTTATTGCATAGATGATGTCTATTAATTTGTATCATCATCATCATTATATTTATAGAAAAGAACAGATTCACACATGAGGACACTCATATACGCACGGATGCTCGGATGTCTTTACATGAATGCCTGATTCATTTATTGAAGCATTGTTCAAGGTTTAGACCCATGTAGCCAAGGGCTCCCTGTCCATCTGCACATATACATGAAATGCTAGGCTTTGGAGATGTAATAGTTGAAAAAAAGCCTTAGTCCTCATTGTCTCTGAATAGTAGCCTACTGGTAATGAGAGCTATTAATCAAATAATCACATAAATAGACATGCAAACAAATTGTTAGGAGCTGTGAAGGAAAGGCATATGGTTTTTTGAGAACTTTATGAGCCTGGACCTAGAGGTGGAGGTGAGAGAAGGCTGCCATGAGGCAGAGCTGAGTTGAGTGGGGGTTCATGAGGTGAAGGAAGAGAACACCCCAACCTTGTGGAGAGCAGCTCTTGCAGAGTCAGTCCCTGAGGCAGGGAAAAGCACTGGGACTTTGTAGGGCAGAGAGCACAAGGGACCGGATGAGGCTGGAGAGGTGCGGCTGGGCTTGTGCTGGACCTGTCAGGCAGAGGTCATAGTCACACAGTCAAAGCGGGGGCCAGGGCAGCATGCCCCAGGGCCCGAGCAGTGTGCGTGTGCATGCGTGTGCATATGTGTGCATAAAAGTGTGTGTGCCTGCTGCGCCCCACATCAACCCCATAGCTGCTGACTGGGCGGAAGGATCTGGGGAGGGGATGGAGTGGCCCAAGCAGCAGGGGTGGGCATACTTAAGAGCTTGAGACAGTGACTGTTGACCAAGAGGAAGGGAGGCATCTTCAGCGTTTAACAACCTGTGCGGCCATATCAGCAAGTCCTGGTAGGACACCCACCTGGCTCCCAGCAGCCACATGAAGGATTCTGATCCTTATCCTAAGAGTGGAGGAATGGGAGCCTCAGGACACCAGGTTTGAGCACAGGAGTGATGTGACCAGACGTGTGCTTTGAAGGCTCACGCTGGCTGTGGGTAGAAGACGTGGGAGGGCCCAGAAGAGGATCCGGGGAAGCCAGCCAAGAGACTTTCGCTCCAGTCTGGGAGAGAAATGTCCCTAGCTTGGATAAGTGTCGAGACTGCAGATGTGGAGCACAGTGAACAGGCCTGGTGTGGACTGGGCGGGAGATGACCCTCAGGTGTCTGGCTGATCCAGGGGAGGAAGGTCACACCGTTCCCTGAGATGAGGACACCAGGAGCAGATGTAGTGTGGGAACGGGGTAAGGAAACAGAGCAGGCTGGGTGGAGATCCTGTGAATCTTTGAGGAATCTAAGTGAAGACTTTGAGTGAGCAACTGGATATCTAAGCCTGGAACTCAGATAAGAGGTCCAACCTAAAGATAGATATTTGGAAGCCAGTCAGCATTTGAGGAAGTCAAATGCTGGCACTGGCTGACGAAAACAGGGTGAGAGGCACGTTGAATATAATCCCACTAGTGTCTTTTTTTGGGGGGGGGAGGTCATTCCATATATATTTATTAAACACCTACTTTGTGCCAGGTACTATTCTAGGCCCTGAACAAGACAGACAAAATGGACAAGGCATGTGTTCTGGTGACGTGTGTATGCTTGTAAAGAAGGCAGACAATAACCAAGAAAATTAACAAATATGTAATGCCGGCTGAAGAGTGGTCCCATGGAGGAGAAAGGGCAAGGTGCCTATTTTAGATGGGGTGCTTACCTCTCTTAGGTGATTTTTGAGAGACCCAAAAGATGTGGTTTCTGGGGAAAAGGGGATCATGTGCAAAGACCCTGCGGGCAGGAGTCAGCTTGCTGTTTGGGGACAGCAGGAAGAACAGTGTAGCTGCCGTGGAATGCTGGGAGGGAAATGTGGTGGGCACAGTCATGGGAGAAATCGCCAGGGCCAAACCTTAAAAGGTACGTGGGCCATGGCCAGGACTCAGATTTTATTCCAACAGTGATGGGAGTCCTGGAAGGTGTTACACAAGAGATGCTCGATCTGATTAAGGTTTTAAATAACCACCCTGGCTGCTGTGTGGAGACTAGACTTGGGGCACAGGGAGAGAAGCAGGGAGACTGGTCAGGGGGTTAATGCAGGAGAATAGGTAGGCGCAGTGGCAGCTCTGACTACAGGGCAGACAGTGGAGGAAGGGAAATCAGAGGACTTGCCTGGCA